CACCTGCTTGGAAAACAAACCATTGTCTACTCAAAGTCAGTGAAATGTTTTCCAGAAGGTAACTAAGCTATTTGTTCCTCAGAGAAATGCTGGAAGGAAATAGACACAGTTGTGGGAAACAAGGCAATCTTGAAGTACGAAGACCGAGGAAAGTTGCCCTACACAAATGCCGTCATTCATGAAATCCAACGCATTTCAACTGTTGTTCCTCTTGGACTACCTCACGCCCCCATTAAAGATGTGCAGCTTTTTGGATATAAAATTCCCAAGGTAAACAACAAACACACCAGAAACCTTTAATTGTTTTACGTGTAGTGATGTGTTGGTGAATCGGTAAGTGTCCATCTGTGTCTTCCTCACCTGAGGCATTTGTGTTTGTGTGTAAGAGCAAGAGAAAGCAGGAGATTGAGATCAATGGGGAGGGGTTCTTCCTTTTGAAGCTCATTTTATGGGAGCGCCATGGGCTTATAGTTCAATATCTTTGTTGTGTGCTTGTCTTGGCTTGTGCAGGACACCATGGTTTTAGTCAATATCCAGTCTGCCCATCGTGATGAATCTCAGTGGAAGTTCCCCAATGAGTTCAACCCTTCCAACTTCCTGAATGAAGAGGGAGACTTTGTGAAGCCGGAAGCCTTCATGCCGTTTTCAGCAGGTCAATTATTCTTCTCTATGTCTCTGTCTCTCTCTCTCTCTCTCTCTCTCACACAAACACAAATACAAACACACAGACACACACACAGAGAGTCACAAAACCTTTTAGTGGAAACCTTTCTTTAGAGACTTGTGGATGTCAGCTCTTGGGCTCAGCTTATAGTTCAGCATCCTACAGGAAAATGGGGGTAAAAACAAACACAGGTAATCATGTTGATCCTTTAATCGTGTAATCAACACCTGGTCCTGGACCAGAAAAGGTGTGCTCAAGCAGAAGATCCTGTAACATTCCAAACAAGTGGTTGTCCAACCTCTTCTTAAAAACTTCCGGTGTTGGAGCATCCACAACTTCTGAAGCCAACCCGTTCCACTGGTTAATTGTTCTCACTGTCAGGTTAATTTTCCTTCGTTCTAGGTTGCTTCTGTCCTTGATTAGTTTCCATCCATTGCTTCTTGTCCTGCCCTTCAGGTGCTTTGGAGAATAGGCTGACCCCCCTCTTCTTTGTGGCAGCCCCTCAAATTTTGGAACACTGCTATCATGTCCACCCTAGTGCTTCTTTTCTCTAGACTAGACATTCCCAATTCCTGCAACCTTTCTTCATATGCTTTAGCCTCCAGGCCCTAATCATGTTTGTAGCTCTTTTCCACACTGTTTCCAAAGTCTCAACCTCTTTTTTAAGTCTAAGCAACATGAGGCGTGCTGCATGGAGGCCTAGAAGGTAAACCTTTTAGAGAAGGAAAGAGTGCAAAAGAACTGTTACCAACTTTGGAAATCTCATGAGATTTGGGATCATATTGTAGAGAAACAAACAGGTCTGGCAGTTGCAGTTGGTTGTCGGCCTTCAACTGTCTGACTGGCTTCTCTCTTTCTCCTCCACTTTGCCTTTCCAGGGCCGAGAGTCTGCTTAGGAGAAAACCTGGCTCGGATAGAGCTCTTCCTCTTCTTCATCACCATTCTCAGGAACTTCCAGTTATCGTGGCCAGATAAATCTCAAGCTCCAGATTTTACACCACACTTTGGGGTTACACAATCCCCATCTCGCTTTAAGGTGTTGCTGAAATGTCGCCAGCCAAATGCGTAGATTGAAGTGAGGATCTGCAAGGCAACCGATTCAAGGCCATCCTATTCTCTTCAACAGCCAGCCTTCTCTACTTCAAATTCACCACCAATTCATTTTTTGAAACATAAAGAAAGTGCTATCTTATGCCACATTTTCCAGTGGAGGATCAGTCTTGTTTATGATGGAGATGAATTTCATTTTCCAGGTTTCTTCTCTCTATTGTCAAGGTTACCGGAAGGAAGAATGGAGAAGAGCAGAGTCCGTAGCTTGTTTATCAGATGGCTCCTCCTGGCAAGAGAATCTGGAGCCTGTACAGGGTGGGGGAGGTACGCAGGTGTGGTGCCTGTGCAGGGTGGGGGAGATATTCAGGTGAGGTGGCTTCTGGGGACTCATCTGCCTTGGTCTTTGCCAGTCAACCACACAAGCAAGGCCAGGCCAAGAAGCAGACCCCACTGGGATTTCAGGAATGCTCCCAAACTTTCTGCTTTCTCAGGTTCACGTCTTTTATCTCCTTCTCAAGGCCAGAGCCAAATTCTTCTACCTTGGACTAGAGAAGAATTGATATTGTCCAAGAATCTCCAGATTTTCTTGTACAGAATTGCTAGATGAACACAGTCCTTTTCCTGGACGCTGTATCTCCACACACCTAAGAGTTGGATTTACACGCTGTCTTTCAAATCAAATAAATCCTCGATTCCAGGAAATACCATGGCTCAACTCAATACTTAATAGTATGGAAACATCTCCCAGCTTCCCAAAACGAATGGATTCCGATTAACCTGTATGCATTTCTCTCTATCTCTTCACAGGTGGATCTCTCTCTTTTTTTAAGGGAGGCAGGATGTCAGAACCCATATCTTAATGGTCCCCTTCTTTATTCCTAACCCAGTCCCTTTCTTCTTTCATCCTGACCCCAGCTCACTCTCTTCTCTTCCTGGGTTCTGCCATACATCTGGAGGGGAGGGGGGAATGCTTGCAGGTTATTGCCTTGACTTCCTCTATCGCTACAATGCAACACTTTGCTCTTTCTGCATATTTCTTCTGCGAACTTTCTCTCCCCGTGTTGTCAGCTAGTAAAGCGGGGGAGACAAAAGGAATGCAACCTCCGGCAACTCGTTTATCTCCGCGTTCGCAAGGGAAGCTGCGAAAAGCCCACAAAACATCACTGTAGCCCGGAGACGGCCTGATGTTATCTCCTTTTTCCCCACAACAGACTTAATACCTAGGGATTGGCCTGTTTGAACTGACCGGATGAACTATGGGGTGGGGTTTTGATTGGGACACTTTAACCTATCAATCTGAGCGGGAAACCCTCAGATCCTGTCTATTATGCCTGCTATCAACTTCTCCTAATAAAAGATCCTTTTGGAAGAAACTGCTTCCACGAGTTCTACTTTCTTAGGATGAGGTATTGAAGTGGGCCCTGACACCTTGGTTTATTAAACCAAATAAACTTGGTTTATTTTTCTTTCAATAATGTTGCTTTTCGTTGGTTAATTGCAGGGCCATCTTCTCCAGATTCATGGATGAAAATTTTCTGGCATTTTAGATGTAATGCTGTATTTTGACCTTTTTTCCCCTGAGGTTCCTGATGTTAATTTTCTGCTTGCCAAAATGCAGCCTATGAAATCTGACCTGAACACCATGTACCTTTTATCCTAACTTCAAAGATTTAATATTTAGCTAATTTGCCGGGGATATTGGTGGGGGTGGGGTGGGAAACAGAATGAGATTTTTTCTACTACCGACATGGTTATTCTCGGCTGGCTGATCGTTCTTTCCCTTCTGTTCCTCTGTTTCTGGAAGAACCAACGTCCTGCAGGTTTTCCCCCTGGACCATGGAGGCTGCCCCTGCTTGGGAATCTGCTTCAGTTCAGTAAGAGGGACCCACTGAAGATATTGGATCAGGTAAAGCTCCCGTTCTGCTCTCGTATTAAACTCCACAGGGTGAATCTGCTGACATTTTGCTGCTGCAGAAATAACTGACGGGAATGGCTGTCTCTATTAACTTTTCCACATGAGATCCAATTTTGCTGGCCACAAAATTTTGACAAAAACATTTAGGGTGTTTTGGAGATGTGAAAATATGTACCATTTGAGGCAGAGGAATCCTAATTCCTAATTGAATCCAATATCTTTTTTTTTTATTGAAAGTTTTATAAAATTTTACAATATAACCCCCCCCTCCCCCCAACCCAACCCTCCATCCCTCCCCCCCTCAAAGAATCCAATATCTTTTGATGATTTCATTAGCTCTTTGAGGTGAATTTGGTTCACCTCAAATATTTCCAAATGAAATACCTATCTTCCAGAAACTACGGGAGAAATTTGGTGCTCTAGAAGGCTAAAGGACGTTTAAGTTATGAATGAGTAGTTTTTGATTCAGCTGAACTCCATTTATATTTTGAAAAACTATAAAACAAAAGAAGGAAGCACTGGTAGAGGAAAAATAAATCTATTTCAGGTAATTCTTGGTTCATGAAGATTTGTTTGGTGACCGTCCAAAGTTATGACAACTTTGCTGAATGAATGAACTTAAGACCGGTCCTTGAAGTTGCATCATGTGTGTCAAGAATGAAAACTTGGCACCTACATGGCTTATTGTTTTCATCTTGTCTTTAGAGTAAGGGGGTGGGTGGGAGATGAGCGTTCAAATGGGTTAGTTAGAGAAATGAAACCTCTCCAATTCCACAAACGCTTGTTGATACGAAGATGTATGGAAACTTTTCAAGGACATTCTAACCGGTGTGAAGCAGATAGCAGAAGGTTCTCAAAAGAACGAGAACTAGGTGGACAACTGGGAGGTTGGGCTGGGAATGTCATTGTTATATGCTTTGGTTAGTTGTCTTGGGATTTTAGAGTTAGTTTTCCTTTGCTTGTACCATGTCTTGTATTCAATAAAAGAGTAAGATCTTCAGAAATGAAAGAAATCCTGGACTTTATTTGGACACTCAAACTGGAGGCTGACAATGTGATGACCATTTGGGCGTTCCCCAGCCAGCCCTTCATTAGGACAGTCGCTGTGTCCTGTAGTCAGGTGTTTGCCATTTATGACCTCCACTGCCAGCTTCTGAGAAACAAAGTAAATGGGAGAAATCAGCAAGACGTTGTAAGTGGCAATCCTGAGACATCGCACCTCTTCAAGTAATACTTATACATACTTAAACTTTTGCAGATAGAATGTTTACAGTTACACCTTTGCATAAATCAGGAGGACCGTTGACCAAATACTTTGGGGAATGGAGTTTGAACGTCGCAACATTGCAATAATCGGTCCCAACTAATTTCCTAATACCTTTATGCTAACACTCCTGGCTACTTCATTTCAGCTAAGAAAAAAATATGGTCCTGTCTTCAGTCTTTATCTTGGAAGAACACCTGTGGTCTTCACTCATGGGTTTTCTCCAGCAAAGGAGGTCCTTGTGATGAAAGGCATAGAATTTGCTGGAAGGGCAGATATTCCTATAATAGACATCATCACTAACAAAAAAGGTAATTGAATATGATTTCCGATTCTATTATTTCTATTTTATTCTTCTTCCAAAAGCCTGTTAGAATCCAAGTTACCCATTCTGGTATGGGTAAATGTCCCTTTTCCTTTGCAATCTGGAGTACAGACCAAAC